TATTTATATATTTTAAAATTATAATAAATAAAAGATAAAAATAATATTTTAAAATTTTATTTTTCTTAACACAATTCATAACTAGTAAATTTTTATTCCTACATTTTTACCTACAATTTACTCTATATGAAACCTACGTAACAACTTTCTTTATGCTTTTTTATATTAATTTCTTATCAAACACAATAAAATTAACAACTCAATAAAATTTTAATAAATTTTCATTATAAAATTTAATAACTTTTTCGTATAATTCTTTTTAATTTTTTATATGCATAATATTTTAACTAATCAGTTTATCAAAAAAATTCTCTTGAAAAAGTTGACTATTAACTAAATACACCGATAAAACTTGGGGTGGAATTTCACAATACTAGATTCTATAAAAATGGCCACAATTCATGTATAGAAATTCATGACGTGTCATCATAAATGGAGATATTCTATGCCATGGAAACCAGCTCTACACCTTTTGTGTAGATGAGTATTGGTCTTTTCAGTGAGTGGTTTTCAGTTAAAATTTTTTTATCCCTCATGATTTGCATCCAAGAAACAAAGAATTAAGAACAACTTACGCGTTTCTAACGGATGCTTTCCAGCCACACATTAACCCTTTTGTGATTGTCTTTTTCTTGATCAAGAATTTGGTGACTAATTCTAATAGTCTTATTCTAGAAACATTTTCCCTATATAAACCAGGAGACACATTATTGTGCCTAAACCTGAGAGTTCTTCCCAATGGCTAGATTAATCTCTCCAATGGTAGCTACCCAATTCACCATCTTCTTCATTTTCTCCTTCTTTGCCATTAATTTAGTGGTGGGAGATGATGGCTTTGCTAGAATCATGGACAGTAAGCTATTTGGTATGAAGAAAGAAAAGCTCAGCCACTTCCGCCTTTATTGGCACGACATAGTTAGTGGCCGCAACCCCTCATCAGTGGCTGTCACGGCTCCGGAAAACAATTCCTTAACAGCTTTTGGAATGATTAGGATGATTGATAATCCCTTGACAATGGGACCGGAACTGAGCTCCAAGATGATGGGAAGGGCTCAAGGGCTTTACTCCTTTGCTTCGCAAGAGGGAATTGGACTGTTGATGGCCATGAATTTCGCTTTCACAGAAGGGAAGTACAATGGGAGCACGATTACGATTTTGGGGATGGACTCGGTGTTCTCGGAGGTGAGGGAGGTACCAGTGGTCGGAGGAAGTGGGCTTTTCCGGTTTGGTAGAGGGTATGTTCAGGCTAAGACACACTGGTTGGATCCTAGTACCAAAGATGCCATAGTCCGGTACGATTGTTATGTGTTGCACTACTGATGATGCATGTATTCTAGCCTCGTACAATAATTTCTCTTTTATTGTTTGTAGATGCCTCATCCCTAGATGTAGTGGGGTTTGGTTCTGTTGTTTTCTTTTTGAAAAATAAAGTATTTTAGGGGTTGCATTTTGACATTTACGAAGAATAATGCTTGTACCTTTTTGAAGTAAAGGGCTTCGCCTCAATTTTTGGGTGAATTTAAGGGTGGTCTCCCACTTATATGTCTCTTGGTAGGCGGCCCTCGTCTCTTCCATCTGTATTTAAAAATATTATACTTATATTGTTACGTTACAAAATATTATAATTTTTTAATATAATATATTATAATATAATTAATTTTTTATTTAAAATTTTATCTATAATATTATATTTATTTATTTAATATTATGTCATTCTAATTTTAATATTGTTAAAAATAATTAGGCCAACTATGATATATATCATATATTAGTAACTAATATAGTGCCCCAAACTCAATTGAATTAGTATTCACTAATATAAAAAAAAATTAATTTGAAAATTGAGATTAAGATTAAAGATTCAAAATTTTAAACCTCTACCATGTTAAGCAATTAGTTTTCAATATTTTTAGAAAAAATAAACAAAGTGTGTGTGTGATTGTTAAAGGGTGTGTCACACCTTCTTTCATCAAATAATCAGATCAACTTATTGACATTAGATTCTAAATTTAAATAATTTTTAAGTTAAGATGTCAGGGGCATCTGGCCCTCTAGACCAAGTGGTCTCTGACCACATAAGATGCATTCCTCCTCCTCGGGCAGAGTTCAAACCCACCCCCATGTAATACTGTTAAAAAAAATAATAATAAAGTTAGGATGCCAGGGAGAGATCATTTGATCCCAACTCGAGGAATATTGATGTTGTTACGTGAATGGCCCAAAGTGGACTGACTTTTTCACCCAAAACCTTTGGATTTTACAAGCCCAAGTAACAACTTAATAAA